ACCCAAGGGAGGGTAGGAAAAGTAAGAAAGGATGACTTACAAATAGAAGACAAACTTTTAAATAAAGAAAAAGGAGGAATAAAACCCCTTTTAACTGTTACTAGAAGATACATGGCTAATAATAGTGCTATCAAACTTGTATTGGGCAGATTACCAAGAAAGTTCTGGGTAGCGTGTTGTATTTTTTTTTCTTGGTTAAGTAACAGATGAACAAATCTATACCTAGGTGAGTTCCACTAAAATAACACCAATAGTTTAGTTAATGTTTACAAAAATATAAGACATTTATTTCTCACTGCTCCATATACTTTACAGAATTAAAATGAGAACATAGAGTCTGCCAAAATGTCTTAGAAAAGATGTGAGTTTAGAAAATAGGGTATAAGGTATATTCATGAAGAAGTTTCAGAGTTAATTTTACCAGTTACAAGTGAAGAAATAATCACAAAAAGGAAATGATGGCATTGTACATAACTGAAAGCTTTCTACTTTTGTTTCTGCTGGGGGCTCTTGAATTTCTAAAACTATTTTATCTAAAATATACAAAAAGTTGCTGAAATATCTGATTAGATTTAATACTAATTCAATTACTTACCCCAAGCATGGAAAATATATTTCCGTGTAGATGGAAGAAATGGATAAAATAGAATGTAAAAACAAACAAAAAGGACAAAGAAAATAAAGGAAAGGAAAATCAGTATTTTAAGTCTATGAACCTCAAAGTCATAAATACTATGCCTTTATAGCTACACTAACATATTTGATATTCAATTTAATGAACTATGAGTAAATGATTCCTATTTAATATAAATATATCCTTTCATAGTTATTGAAAATAATCTATGTAGGGCTGGGGATTTAGCTCAGTGGTTCTGCTGCCTGCTTTGCAAGAACAAGTTCGATCCCTAGTACCAAAAAAAAACCACCAACAACAACAAAAACAAAAACAAAAACAAAAAACTATGTAGTTATTCAAAGTTTGCACTTTGAAACACTATACAATTGGAAATCAAATCATCTCATTTGTTTACGTTACTTGAAATGCTGGGTGAGAAAATTTTTAGGTACAGGACCAGAGACAGCAGGGTTATTACACACTCCCCGTACTGTCCCTGTCCAGTCCCGTCTCTCCTGGCCTAATTGACTTGAGCGTGCACAACTTGCCTTATCAGGACTGTGTACTGATTTGCCTCAGTTCTACACAGGGGCAGAGACAGCGAGCCTCTACCCTGTGCCTCACACTGTGCTGGAAGTGGGACTGTATCTGTGAGTGCAGATGGGACCCTTGATCGTCTGTGGACAGGTATGCCCACCGACGTGGAGTATCAATGCTGGATGTGTGGCTGGTGGGCAGATAGTCAGCTGTTGGGGTGTTTGTGCAAACTTCTTTATCCACTGTTCAAATACAGTAGCAGCACTGTTTCTACCTGGACTAAGAGGGTGTTTTATGTGTCTCACCACAACTCGAGCCCATGAATGATATTTTAGAACTATTTCAGAAAAATTAATTAGAAGTCCAGTAGTGGTAAAGAAAATTGCATAAGTAGCTCTTATTACTCATTTGTTTTTGGAGTATGCCCAGTTTTATACTGGGGAGTAATATACTAACTATACCTTGTTAAACATGCTTTTTCACTTATATATTCATTCTCTCCCCCAAGAAATAGGTTTTATTGCTGATTATACTATATGGGATAAAAAAGGAAGTAAACACTTTACTTTTTAGAGACTAGTAGAGCATGAATGCTTTCAGTAGCTTTTCAATTTCTACCATGAGGCTGAACTTGGAATTAGATGTCACCACAGCTAACTCAAAAAAAGCTCTAAAAATAGGGCCGCAAATACAACTTTGCTTGTAAGGTGAATGCCCTAAGCTGAAAAATAAATTGAAAAAAGGCGGAAATTTTACGCCTGAACTTCAGAAGAATCTGACTGATTCTCAAGAACACTGGGGAAATTCATCGCCGATGTTAAGTCTTTACTCATCTGGCTTTCTAGATACATCTGTGCAAGAAATTGTGCTCCTGTTTTCTCTTAAATTTGAGACCTTCACACCCACCACAGGCTGGATTCTCTGAGGGCATTTGAAGAATTGTAGATTGGATTGTTGTGGTACCACAGGGAATGGTCGTTTCTGATCACTCTTAAAGACTGAGTTCCTGTTCCTGACTAATTGTAGGTAGGCAACCTACATTTGCATCATTCTGCTTTATTTATTTTCACAATTTAATGATTTTCTGTTGAATTCTGTTAACTGTGAAATTGAATGTACTGTCACTTTGTGTATATATGTGCATTTTGAGACTGTATATGCTACATATATGTATATATTACATATACACATAAAGCTAGTAAGTCAGCTGTATTCTTCTATAATAAAATATGGCCCACTTGACATCTATATAATAGCGTATTGTTGGATTAAATAGCTGGCTCAAACAGATTTGAATCTTTTTTTCTCACAACAAGGATAACTGCTGTGCGGGGTGCGGGCGTCCAGAAATTTTAAGGGAGTTACAGGTCAAATGCAGGGACCTTTCAAGGTACAGTGCAGAGACGAAAATTATAGAAAACATGAAGTCAAGGGCTGTAGCTCCAATAATACTCAGCTCTATGTGAAATTTGTTTGCAAACAATTTGTTGTTCTTGATAATATTTACTCGATGTATCTTGTGTTGTCAGTAGGACAACTGGTTTTGTTACAGATGCACTATTTGAATAGAAAATATCACTGAGATATAAAAAACTGTCTCATTTATGGCAAAACTTAATCAAAACCTTTTGATTAAATATAAAAATCTCTACTTTCAGCAGTTATGAAATCAAAATATGTGGCAAATTATACGGAAGAGTGCTCACTTATATAAAACATTCAGCATCTTCCCATTGAGATATTCAATGGTCTTTTTACTTCAACAATTTAACTGTGAAGTATAAACAAAAACTTTTTATTTCTGCATGCATGGTTCTAACATACCTATTTTGCCAGCCAGGAAAAGTCACTATGGAGTATTAACTATGCATTTTTTTCTGACTGAATTTTTATTAATAAAAATTAGTGCAGCTAAAGCATTCAATTTCATTTCAGGAAATGATGACATTTTAAGACACCACTTTCATAATTTGAAGAGGAAACTATCTTAGTTTTTGTTAAGGGCATTTTTTTCTTTGTTTCCTAGGCTTAGTTATGATCGTTTTCTTTTAATTCATAAAATTCATACTAGTTAAAAATTCAGAACAGAATATTTGCTTTTGTTATTATCACTGTGGGTTTAACATTTTATTTTCAAATTATTTTCATTAGTATATGTTTGCAGTATATAATGACCACAGAGGGATTAGTACATGTAACCTAACACATCTTAATTCTTTTTTTTTTGTCCCCTGCCCCTCCTTTCCCTCCAACCCTTTTCCCCTCCTCATTTACAGAAGCTCTAAATGTGGGACTATGTTTAATAATTAGCAGCTGTTTGCTCTTTGGCAAATTATTTAACCTTTCAGACTTATTTCCTTTATGAATGGGAATAACCCATAAAAGACATGTCCTTCATAGGTAATAAGCAAATGTACCACGCACCAAATCAAAGGCCCTCATCTAAGGGCAGGAAGAACTGATATATGGAAGAGTAAAGGTGACTCACAACAGTGAAAGCCAAGTGAAGCAACAGTGAAAAGTGGCTTACAAAATATGCGCAGGGAAAAACTCAAGCTGTCTTAACTACAGTTCCCAGCAAGTGATCCTGGACTCCTCTTTGACATATAAAACAAGGGATGAGATTTTTGCTTTTGCCAATGAGTAATTACATGTATCCTCCCACTGTGAATTCATTCTCATTGTCCAAATAAGTTTCAAGTATGCTGTTTTTATTCTGTCCATGTCTATAACTGTTTTTCTGTTCTTTTGTGACCCATTCCCCTATAATTTGCCACATATTCAAATTTTATAGCTGGCGAAAATAAAACTGCTTTTTAATCATTCAAAAAAATCTGGATCAAGTTTCTCCATATGAGACACTGTTTTTTATATCTCATTGCTATTTTTTATTCAAATATACATCTGTAACAATATCAGTTGTCCTACTGACAACACAAGATACTCAAATGAGAGTAAGTACTAGCAAGAACAACAAATTTTTTCTGAACCAATTTCACACAAAGCCGAGTATTACAAAGTACTAGTGGAGCTTCACATTTCACTTTGTTTTCTATAGCTTTGGTCTTTGCATATTTCTTGAAAGCACCCCTCATCTGACCTGTGACTACTTTAAAAAATCAGCCTCTTCCAAATACAGAACATACCACATTTATAACATAAAGGTTCTTCTCCCCACATTGTAAACTGTTTCAGATTTAAGTTTCTTGTCACACTCTACCACCAAACTACAACCTTAGCCCATGGGTCATATTTAAATACTCGTTAATACAAATGGTAATGTTTTTGTCCTTGATGAAAGGTACCTAGAACTCTTCCAGTTCCAAAGCCCTCTTGGGTCTCCTGCTAAGCACCAATGGATCCTCTTCTTGTTCGCTTACTTCTCTTCTAACTGTGTACATTAAGTGGATTCCCCCAGGAATCTTGCTTCATCACATTACATATTCTAATTTACCCTTCAGGAGTCTCTTTGCTTCCCACTGTGACCCACACATACCTTATTGGGACAGTTTTTTGCTTTTTGGTACCGGGATTGAACTCAGGACCTTGCGCCTTGTGAGGTAGGCAGTGAGCAGCACCACTGAGCTAAATCCCCAGCCTGGACAGTTTCTAACTAGTCTACAATTATTGATTTACATTTCACTTTCGCCCACCCCAGACTGTGTATCTTTAATAGAAGAGCAAAGTCCAACATATGTGTATTCATAGTATGCAAGAATGTATCATGTTTGTTAAACGGCCAAATACTGATATCTTATATTAGAAAGAACCTATCACTTTTTCTTAGAAATTAAAACAGAATAATTTGATTTTTCATTTCCTTTGTTTACTGTAGGTTCTGATCATCATGGTGCCTGCCTTACTGATTCTCTTGGGGGCCATGGAGACCCTGCAAACAGACTTATTTCCTGGAAAAACATGTAAGGGCTTTCTAATCAATAAACATACAATTTGGAAACTTATAAAAAGGAAATCCTTATCAGAAAACATATTCTGCAATCTGTTATATTTTAAGAAAACACTGTTAGCAGATATATTATGCTGCACTGGGAAATCCAATTTCAAGTGTGCATGTACAGGCACTATGGATTGGTGGCCACTTTTATGATGCCCTCCCATACAAGAGATCGGTTAGAAGACTTTATAACAAATGATTAGAAACTTGTATGATCTGTTCTGAAACTAGTTGATCTCTGGGTCTGATGTGATGACAAAGTTACTGTCCTATGGTCCTGAACTAGTATGGTCTAATAGACTTTTTCTGATAAAGACAATATGCCATTTCTGATAAAGACAATATGCATGGATGAAATATGCATAGTATAACTGAGGTCATGAACATTTGATTTTATTTAAATGAATTTAAATTTAAACAGCCACAGTAGTTAGTGGCTAACATAATAGGCCAGTACAGACAGAGCCCTAAAAAATGTAGTGCAGCAAGTGGGGTGCGGACTCATGGAAGACCCTTTAAGATCAATGGAAAATCCTGATAACTTAGTGAGTAAAAGAAGGTTCACAATAGTGTGTATAATGCTGTACTAATTTTAAGGAATTAAAAACTGTATGAATATAAACAGAAAAATATCATGAATATGGCATGTCATTACCAATGGTAAGACTGTAGGAAAGACTTTATTTTCTTCTTTTTGCTCCTCTTTAAAATTTTTTATAATGATCAAATGCTGATTTTGTAATTAAAGCTTTTATTTTGAAAGCAGAGTGGTGCATAAAAGGGAAAATACTCTTCTCTTTGTATAAAAGCTTACTGAAGTAATCACATTCACAAACACCTTTGATGGACTCATAAAATATACACTTTGTACACCATGGACCACTGCACATAAACATATACATACTGTTATATAATGCAAACAAGACGTTGGTGAGGCAGCTCTCATTATATCTGATGCACTTTTGTATTTTCTATTCTATTTTTCTTCCATATCAATAAAAATGCTGGTCACAACCCAATAAATTGCAATCATGGCACATTAATGGATAATTACTCTCATGTTGAAACCTATAGTTAAAAATTAAAGATGTAAGGAAATGTTCATATTTCAGTAAAATATGTAAATATTATAGGTAAATACCCTGGCATGGTAAAAAAAGGCAAGTTAAAAGAAATCTTACACTTCTTCCAAAATTATTTCAGTAATGTACATTCTAACAGCCTAATAGTATGCTACAAAATAAAATATTTTCAAAAATTTATAGTGCTATTTATGTATAGTCAAATGTTGTGATGCTGCTGCTTTTTAAATCAACAGTATTACTTCTCCCACCTGTGAATTTCACCATTAAAGTTACTGGTTTAGCTCAAGTTCTTTTATCTTGGGAACAAAATCCTAATCAAGGACAAACGATTGCCACTGTCAAATATCATGTGAAAATAAATACCCCACAAGAGGAGGATGTAAGTATTCATTTTAGTGACAGTTGTTAAAGCAACTAGTCATCTCGACTATATTCAACAAATGAGATTTTAAATTAAACATAATTATTAAGGAGCTTCATCTTATATTGTCAACAGAGTAGTATCTCAGTGGAAATAGCTGTTAATTACTACTATGCTCATTGTTTCATACTGAATAGCAGCACGAAATAGTCTATTTTGGGGGCAATTCTTTCCCTTATGAAAGAACATTTAGTAACTTTTTAGGTACAGTAAATTAAATGCTGGTTTTATGCTTCTTCTAAAATAGAACAACACAAGGGAGTAGCCTAGTAAAATGGGCTGTGTGTGTGTGTGTGTGTGTGTGTGTGTGTGTGTGTGGGGTCAGAGAAATCAAGTACAAGCCCAGTTCATTCACTTCCTGTCTATGCCAGAATAGACCAATTGCCTCATTTCTTGGAGATTCAGCTTCACTATAGGGACGGTTAACGCACCTGCTGCAGAGTAGGTACACAATCAAGACAAAGGGGAAAGTGACTTGTATTAATTGTTTTGCAGTAAAGATGGAATTCTAGAGATTTTCCAGTCAAAAAATTAACTCTAGAGAGGGGACTGGCACTAGAAATTCAAATCAAAGAAAACTTCAGCCTTTAGAGCAGTATTTTCTATTATTATAAAGAGAATGTATTCATGTGTCACTGAGGAATGATGTAATTATTAGAACGGTTTGAAATTTTTCTACCAAGACTATGTAATTGTTTTTTTACTTATGTGTAATTTGAAAAGTGAAAGTAAAGGAATACTTGATTAGAAATTGTTCTGTTAAGACTGTTTCTCTCTTATGTGTTTTGACTTGTGAGTTTTTAGTATGAAACTCGGAACACTGAAAGCAAATGTGAAACCATCCTTCATCAAGGCTTTTCAGCAAGTGTGCGTACCATCCTGTGGAGAGACCATTCCTTCCTGGCCAGTAGCTGGGTTTCTGCTGAACATAAAGCCCCACCAGGTAAAACAGACCTCTAAAACTCTGGTTTTATATTTTAGACTTTTCAAAGTGGCAGATAAAATAGTAGCAATTTGCTTTACTTTTTAGTCAGTCACCAGTTCCTGCAAGTACTCATTCACACCACCTACACCCTAAACAAGGCTGTCCTCAGTACTTAACCCTTCCTATTCTACGAGGCACATCCCAACAAGAATGCTTCTGTCTCTACATTTGGCCATAGTGGAAAGCTGGTGTTTCTGATACTTAGAACTTGTGATCTAGTGAAACTTCTGGAAATACACACACACACACACACACACACACACGCGCGCGCGCGCGCGTGCGCGTGTGTGCGTGCCAAGGGAAGGAGACTGAGGGGAAGTGAAGGAAAGGGAAAAAAAGGAAAGGGGAGAGAGATGGCAAGAGAGAGAGATGGAGAGAGGGAGAGAAAGAGAGGGAGCGAGAGAAGCAGGAGGGAGGGGAGGGGA